AAAAGATGACCTTCTTGCAAATCTACATCCCAATTCCACCTTGCATCATTGCTTTAGCCTAGACAGAGCAAAAAATTAAAAACTAAGAGGCTGATTCCTGGAACAGAGCTGGAAAGGCTTTTAGAGGCCATTGAGTTCCACCTTCTTTTTTTTTAATTTAAGTCAACCAAGGCCCTGGTGTGCCAGCGACTTGCCCAAGGTCAAGAGACACAGCTAAGGTTGGAACCCGGAGGCAGATTTGCCCATCCCTGCACAGTCCTGCTCCTCCTTCAATCCTTATCTCCTTCATTCACACCTAATCTAAATACAAAGATCATACGCCTGTTATTTTGATTAGAAATAAAACATTTTACTTTAGAAGCCCTCCCGTATATCCTCAGTGTCAAAGGGAGAAGTTACCTTTGTTGATTGTCTTTGAAATGATTCCCAGTCAACTCTAAAGAATGAACACGCCCGCAGCCCAGACCAGGACCTTTTTCCCTCTGGCTTGGAACACTTGGGACTGAAGAAAATTAAGTCAGGTGGAAGTCACATGCTGACTTACAAGGTAACTTTTTAGTGCAAGTTTCCAGCCAAATGCCCTTTGCTCAAGGCGACTTCTCAGCAATTCCTCTGTAATTCCAACAGCCACTTGCTGTGACTGTTCTCCAACATGCTGTGCTAGCAAAAAAAAAAAAAGTGGGGGTGGGGGGGGAAGAAAGTGTTCCCCTATTTCAAGGTGAGGCAACTGTCATCTCCCATAAGCGGGAAATTTCCAGAAGAGAGCTAGTGCTTCAGACCTGTGACCTTGGTCTCCAGCGGAAGCAGCTGCCAAGTTCACGATTTCAATCTGTATTCTCATGGAGAGGAATGAACGCACTTAAAAACCTTCTTCTTCTTCTTTTTTAAAAATTTCATTTAGTTGCCATTTCTAGTCCTACATAATGCTTCAGGGACACTGAAAACTTTGTGGGCTTTTTATTGATTTACTTTTTAAGCACAGTATTTTTTTGCGCTCTGGCATTGTGTTCAGAGACAGAACCTGCCTCTAATTCAAACATCCTGGATTCAGTAACCACAAGTATCTTCTTGTAATATTAACTCTTAGTACTTTTCTGGGTCTCATGTAATTTTGGGGTAGTGACCTGGAACAGCCATTGGGTATTTAAACATGGATTCCCACTCCATTGGTCTTCCCTGGTGGTTCAGTGGTAAATAATTCGCCTGCCAAGCAGGAGATGCAGGTTTGATCCTTGGGTCGGGAAGAACCCCTGGAGAAGGGAATGGCAACTCACTCCAGTATTCTTGCCTGGGAAATCCCATGGAGAGTGGAGCCTGGTGGGCTACAGTCCATGGGGTCGAAAAAGAGTTGAACATGACTGAGTGACTAAACCACCACCTACCACCTACCACCCCACTTTCTGGTCCTGGGAATGGAAGATCAGAAGAGTTCATCCACCAATACTTTATTTCCACCCCCTGACCCAGCAGGTTTTGACTTTAGTTATTCCACCAAAAAATGACAAAGCAGACACTAAAATGAGAAGGCTGGCAAAAGTCCTGAGGGTCTGGGTTCAGGGAAGCACTTTCATATGTGAGCGTTTGGAATTAAAATCAGTATGCATGGTTCACTGTATAAAAATAGCAGAATGAATATAAGAAAAAAAAAATCTACTATTCTCTGGCTGGGCAAAACAAACAGGGTCTATGGAATCTGAAAATACTTCAAAGCAGAAACAAACATTAAAAGGAAATCTTTAAAAAGAGACAAAGTAAATATTAAAAGTCTTTTTTGGCTCAGAAGCTAAGACTGTCCTAAGAGGTTATGTACAGACCTCGCTTGTTTATCTTAGGACATTTGTGAGCCAGGCAGACCTGCCAAGTTGCAAGAATAAAACAGGCTTTTAACCTTTTAAATAAGTTAAATAAAAGAAAAAGTGACACAGGTAGAACAAAGCATCAGAGCCACACTTTCTTCGGGAAGTTTTCCACTTTGCTGCAGGTTGAAAGACCAGAGTTGCACTGCAGTGATTCCACATCTGCAGATAAAAATCCAGGGTCACCCATAGGAGTTAGGATGGAAGAAAATAAAAATATCCTGCCTTGCCAGGTGTGGTGTATGCACAGATCAGAACGAAGTGCTGTTGTTCTGCAATTTTTCATGTTCAAGGCACAGGACATTTCCAAACAGGATTTGGCCTGTGTAGTCTTAGCTTTGAATTTTTCAACTTTTTCTTGCTGGTACTCACAGTCTTTTATCTATACTCCACGTTGCTATTGATACTGTAATCTACCCCCATCCCTTTTTTTTGAGCATCTGGAGTCTAAGAAGGTGTGGGCAACAGAGTGGGAGTCATAGTTTCCATCCTCCATGAATATGCTTGGTCGCTGATCTTATCTCTAGGACAGAGCAGGGCATAAGCTAGAGAGTGTAGGAAGAGAGACAGGGGCTTGAGCAATGTGGAATGAACAAGAGAAATGGAATCCTTGAGTCTTCAGGATCAAGGCAGCTCGTCATGGGGCCCAAGAGCTGAAAGAGGCCAGTGGGATCACCTCTGCTCAAGATTCCTGAAATGGTTAGCCAACTTCTCCTTGGAAACTTCAAAGGTCTTTCTGGCAGACACAGAGTTGGAGCACTTAGACTCTTGTCAAAAATGGATTTAGCAGCCCAGCATCAAGGAATGTGGGCTTCCCGGGTGGCACAGTGGTAAAGAACCCGCCTGCTAATGTAGGAGAGGCAAGAGACTCGGGTTCAATCCCTGGATTGGAAAGATCCCCTGGGGGAGGAAATGGCAACCCATTCCAATATTCTTGCCTAGAAAATTCCGAGGACAGAGGAGCCTGGTGGGCTACAGTCCACAACTCAGCAACCGAGCACACAGCATATCAAGAAATATGATTAGCAGCTAATGTCCAGCTGTTATTGCTTTCAGAGTCTGCCCAGGATTTTTCTTTTCTTTATAAACAATCTGGCTAAACAAAACATTTATTATTTTAACTTAAAAAAAGCCTTTTATATTGGAGTATAGCTGATTAACAATGTTGTGATAGATTTAGGTGCACAGCAGGATGACTCAGCCATACACATACGTGCCTCCACTCTCCCCCAGACTCCCCTCACATCCAGGCTGCCACGTGACGTTGAGCAGATTTCCCTGTGCGCTACAGTAGGTCCTTGTTGGTTATCCATTTTACATAGAGCAATGTGTACACGTCCGTCCCCAGCTCCCTAACCATTCCATCCCCCATCATAACCCCCCTGCTAACCACACGTTCGTTCTCTAAGTCTGTAAGTCTGTTTCTGTTTTGTAGATAAGTTCATTTATATCATTTCTTTTTCGATTCCACATTTAAGAGATATCATACGATATTCCTCTTTCTCTGTCTGACTTACTTCACTCAGTATGACACTCGGGTCTATTCATGTTGCTGCAAATGCCTGGGCTTCTGAGCTACCAGCCTTCTCTGGCTGCCCCCGGCCAATGGCTGAGCAAGGTGGTGGTACAAAATCCTGGCCATTCCAGCCCCATGTGGGAAGTCTCTCTGCCAATCTTGGCTTTAGAGCTTCATGTTAGCTCACAGAGACTTAGTCTGACGTGTACCATCACTGTTTGAAGGCTGTCCTATTCAATCTTGGCAACAGAAAGTGGACATTAGGCAAAAACTAATGAAATCTAAATGATGTATGGACTTTATTTTATTTTATTTTTTTTTCCATTTATTTTTATTAGTTGGAGGCTAATTACTTTACATCATTGCAGTGGTTTTTGTCATACATTGAAATGAATTAGCCATGGATTTACATGTATTCCCCATCCTGGTCCCCCCTCCCACCTCCCTCTCCACCCAATCCCTCTGGGTCTTCCCAGTGCACCAGGCCCGAGCACTTGTCTCATGCACCCAACCTGGGCTGGTGATCTGTTTCACCCTAGATAATATACATGTTTCGATGCTGTTCTCTTGAAACATCCCACCCTCGCCTTCTCCCAGAGTGGACTTCAGTTAATAATAATGATGTATCCATATTGGTTCATGGCAGTCCAGTGGTTAAGACTTCACCTTTCAATGCAGGGGCTACAGGTTCAATCCCCAGTTGTGGAACTAAGATCCCATGTGTCTCATGGCCCAAAAACCAAAACATAAAGACAGAAGAAATATTACAACAAATTCAATAAAGACGTTTAAAAAATGGTCGACACAAAAAAATATTTTAAAAAATTGTTACATATGCACCACGTGCGTGCATGCTAAGTCACTTTAGTTGTGTCCAAGCCTGTAACCCTACGGACGGTAGCCCTCCAGGCTCCTCTGTCCATGGGATTTTCCAGGCAAGAACACTGGAATGGGTTGCCACGCCCTCCTCCAGAGGATTTTCCTGACACAGGGATCAAACCTGCGTCTCGTCCATCTCCTGCATTGGCAGGCCTGTTCTTCACCACTAGTACCACCTGGGAAGTCCATGTATGCCTCACACAATTGTTAGATGATAACAATAGGGGATTTTGGAGGTGGGTTATATTGAAACACTCTGTACTCCCTTCAACAATTTTTCTGTATACCTGAAACTGTTGTAAAAGACAAAAGAATTATTTTTTTTTAAATCACCCACTTATATTGTTTAAATTAACTTTCCTATATTTAGTTAACATCTGCCTGTCAATCATTTTATTCAGTGCCATTCAATCTTAAAGAGTAGCTCCAGATCTGAACTCTACCAATAGATAAACTCTGGACAGAGGGACTATTGTCTTTTCTGATGTATTCTTCTGTCAATATGACCTATTTGCGGAGGTGGTTTGCTTAATCAGCAGTGAAGTGATGCCCTTCCAGTTGTCCTCTAGCCAGAGATCATCACACTGGTGTGTGATGAGATATAGAACTTGTAGCAGAATGTCTATCGACTGCATCATTAATGCATTGTTTAGTCTGGCTGACTTGTTTCCATAGCAAGGCTTTCTCAATGAAGGAAGCTGTGTGTTGCCTCCCCTCTGCCTCAGCCTGCTCGTCTCGTGTTGACCGGGTCACTGATCCGCCACAACCTTCAGCACCATTTCCTCCTTCCACGTAATAACATACACTTGACGTCCAGTGCGTTCCTGCTGCCCACCAGCTTCTAGTAAGTGGGACTCACTGGGATAGAAATCCTACAAAGAGTATGCAAAGACTGCTCAGAAGGAGGGCACTGGTGAGAACTAAGACTTCCAGTCTTCTCCTGGATCTGGAGAATATCCAGCCACTGACCGGCTGTGAGTAAGGGCCTTCCCCTGCCCAGACCTCATTTCCCTCATCTGTAAAACAAGGTGGTGGACTCCAGTAATTTCCGAGGGTATTCAGATTTTCGTTTTGTTTTTGTCTACTGGTCACGCCATGTGCCATGTGGGATCTTAGTTCCCCAGCCAGAGACTGAATCCACGCCCTGGCGTTGAAAGCACGGAGTCTTAACCACTGGACTGCCAGAGAAGTCCATGTTTTTTTTTGGTTTTGCTTTTTGGGGACATTCTAGTTTTTGTGCTCCAGGATTCAGTTATTTTCTTCAATCTTATAGAAGTGCAGCTGATTTACAGTGTTGTGTTAATTTCTACTGTAGAGCAAAGGGATTCAGTGATATATATATATATATATATATATATATATATATATATATATATATATATATGTATACACACACACATTCTTTTTTATATTCTTTTCCATTATGGTTTATTACAGGGTATTGAATATAGTTCCCTATGCTATACAGGAGGACCCTGTTGCTCACCCATTCTATATACAATAGTTTGCATCTATTAATCCCCAACCCCCTGTTCTAGGATTCAAGTCTGGAGTCAAACGACTTCCGCATCCATGAGGTCCCTTGGCTGGGCTCTTCCACAGTCTTGGTCCCCATCACACCTGCCACCATTTTGCCTCCTACAGCGTTTCATCTGGTGACAAATCTGCTGGCTTCAGCACGGGAATGTCACTGTGATGGCCAGCTGCCAGGCCCAAAGATAAGAGAACTAGAGAGTCTGGAGGGTGAAAGGCCTTCTCAGCAACATGTATCCCCCAATGACTGAATGATGCTTCCGTGAAGCATGTCAACACGTGTGGAGTTTTCCATTTCCGCATATAGAGAGCTTGGAGGTCACCACTCTGTCCTAACAACAAGTAAAAAGATAAACAGACTGAAAAGTCAGTAACTCCTCTGGGATTCATAAGAGGCGGGGAAGACAGAGTGCAAACCACTGCAGCCAGGACTGAAGAGACGTACCAGTGAAGGCAGGAAGTCGCCACTTAGGGGAGCAGAGATACACAATCAGAACCACAGCCGAAATCATGCTGGGGTGAACAGTCACTGACGAATTGCTGGGGGCTCAGTAAGGACAACTCTGAAGGTTTAAAACTCCAAGGGGACCCAGCATTGTGAGATTTACCTCCAGGAGCTAAACCAAATTCCCACAGAGAAAAATCCCCCGGGGCTTCCAGCAAAGGTAAGGGGCAGGAAACCATTTGAAACATGCCAGAGCATTCTGTTCTTCTTTTTCAATTTTTACTTTACACTGGAGTATCGTTGATGAACAATGTTGTGTTAGTTTCAGGTGTATAGCAAAGTGATTCAGTTATACATACACATATATCTATTCTTTTTCAAATTTTTTTTCCATTTAGGCTATTACAGAATATGGAGCAGAGTTCCCTGTGCTATCCAGTAGGTCCTTGTTGGTTATCTGTTTTAAATATAGTAGTGTGCATATGTCAATGTTTCAGTGATAGTGAAGTCATGTATGGGTGTGGGAGTTGGACCATAAAGAAAGCTGAGCGCCGAAGAATTGATGCTTTTGAACTGTGGTGTTGGAGAAGACTCTTGAGAGTCCCTTGGACTGCAAGGAGATCCAACCAGTCCATCTTAAAGGAGATCAGTCCTGAATATTCATTGGAAGGACTGATGCCGAAGCTGAAACTCCAATACTTTGGCCACCACCTGATGTGAAGAGTTGACTCTTTGAAAAGACCCTGATGCTGGGAAAGATTGAAGGCAGGAGAAGAAGGGGACAACAGAGGATGAAATGGTTGGATGGCATCACCGACTCGATGGACATGAGTTTGAGTAACCTCTGGGAGTTGGTAATGGACAGGGAGGCCTGGCGTGCTGCAGTTTATGGGGTCCCAAAGAGCCAGACACAACTAAGCAACTGAACTGAACTGATATGTCAATCCCATACTTCTCCCCTGCCCCCATTTCCTGCTTGCCTTTGAATTCTGTGAGTCTTCAGTGAAAACTAGTTAACCAGAGTCTACCCTGCTATGATCAGAGCCTAACTGACCTGGGAAGGGAAATACTCAACTCCAGCCCACCTGAACCATCCTCTCCTAAAGAGTCTGGAGTGAACATGGCCCTGATGATACCTTGATTTCTGCCCAGGGATGCTGAGGTTGGACTTCTGGCCTCCAGAACCTTGAGCTATTAAATGCCTGTTTTTGTTTTGTATTGTAATTTTATTTGTTTATTTTACTTTGGGCTGTGCTGGGTCTTCACTGCTGCACAGGCTTTTCCCCTAGTTGTAGTGAGTGGGGGGCTGCTCTCTAGTTGCGATGCATGAGCCTCTATTGCAGTGGCTTCTCTTGTTGCTGACCACGGGCTCTAGAGAACAGGCTCAGTAGTTGCGGGGTGCAAGTTGAGTTGCTCTGTGGCATATGGAATCTTCCCGGACCAGGGATCGAACCTGTGTCTTCTGCATTGGCAGGCGGATTCTTATCCCCTGAACCAGAAGGGAAGCCCACGCCTGTTGTTTTAAGCCTCCAAGTTCATGGTCATTCCTCACAGCTGCCTCAGGAAACAAACCCACCCTCTTGCTGAATTTCATCTTCCTTTCGTGTAGACTTTTCTTTCTCTAGTACACAAAGCCTCTTTTATTTGCCAGGACGTGGCAGAGTAACACTCTCCAATTGGAGAGCTTAATAAAGGGACTGTTTACAAAGGCCTTGAGCAGTCAGGAGACAGGAGACAGTGCTGTTCTGCAGGTGGGCGCAGTCAGGGAGACGCCGCCGCCCTGGGCCTGTGGGGTCGGAGGGACAGAGCTGTGGGGAGAGGGCCATGGACAGGAGTGTCAGGGACACGGCCCGCCCGGGCAACACAGCAGGAAAGGGAGCGAGGGGAATGAATACCTCCGTGTCCTCTCTCTTCCCTCTGACCTCCCGCCTGAGGCCTTGGTTGGATGAACCTAACCCAGGAGCCAGATGCAAAGGAGCCATTCAGGTCAGCCTTCTGGATGCAGAGGAGAGCAGAGATGCAGAGGTGGAGGGGACTTGGGGGCCCATGGAAACATCCAGACCAACTGCATCCAGACCATCCGTCCAGCAGGCTGGTTTTGTGGGTCCAAGCTCTCCTCTGAAGGAAACGGTCTCATCTTTAAAATGACTTTTTTTCTGTTTTTTTTTTTTTTTTTCAAAGCCACGCTGCAGGGCTTGTGGGATCTTCGTTGCCCAACCAGAGATGAACCCACAGCCCCTGCCTCGGAAGCTCGGAGTCCTAACCCCTGGACCACCACGGAAGTCCCCAAAATGAAGGCTTTGGACCAGGAAGCCTCTGAGAGCCCTTTCGGGGATCTGAGGCTCACGGTTCCGGAAGCAGACTGATCGCCCTCCCAGGCTAAGGCAGATCCGAACGTGCCTGAAGTCCCATAGCTGTTTCTTTCCTCGCATCTCTTCTCCGGGACGCCCCTCAGATCTGGGCGGGCATCGCAGTGCACGCGGCCCAGAGCGTCTTCCGGGAAAGGGGCCAGCCATGCTCCCTCGGGGAGGCTGGGAAAGGAAGGCCGAGGTCGGAAGAACAAGAAGGGGCTCTGGGCAACCAACGGGGAGGGGCCAGCCCCTCAGCCATCGGGGAGTCAGCGCTCGGGGGGCCCCGGCCCTCGGGCTGGCTGGCCAGGCACAGAGGAGGCTGGCAGCCCCGCGCAGCTGGTAATCATTAGCCAGAAAGCCAAACTGCGGGAAGTTCCAAGGGTCCTGACCGAGGAGCAGACACCAAACCTTCCCTGCCGCCCTGGGGCGTTCTGTTCTGTACTCTGGCTGCTTTTGCAACCACCCCTGTCTGCGTCTGTTTCACGGAAACTCCTTTTGAAGATAGAGGGTGAAGCCAGGAGACCCTCCAGGACTGAAAGTGCAGAAAGTGTTACCTCCCCGCAACCCCCCTTCCCATACCTTGGGTGGGCTGGGAGGTAGAACAGATTCCTCTTTTGTCCCTAAACCCTGCGTCTCCTGCATTGCAGGTGGATTCTTTACCAACTGAGCTATCAGGGAACCCCAAGTAAAGGAGATTACCCTAAAAAAACAAACAAACCCTGCATCCGGAAGTTACCCCGCTCCTGGTAGCCTGACACTGCTGGCTGGGATTGCAGCTGCGCTGGGTCTCTCCTGTCAGGCACCTTTGCATCCTCTGACCTCTGCTCTCCATGTGCCTAAGAGGGCTGTGAGTAACTGCTTCCTCCATCCTTTTCCAAATACAGCCCTCCTCAGGCAGACAGAAAGGGCTAAATTCCAGGAGGATTCCATTTGCCATAAATTAATGTGAATCACAGTCAGTCAGTCGTGTTCGATTCTTGTGACCCTATGGACTGTGGCCCGCCAGGCTCTTCTGTCCATGGGGATTCTCCAGGAAAGAATACTGGAGTGGGTTGCCATTCCCTTCTCCAGGGGATCTTTCCAACCCAGGGATGGAACCCAGGTCACCCGCATTGCAGGCAGATTTTTTACAGTCTGAGACACCAGGGAAGCAGAGTTAACCCCTCACACCCATACCCAGACATCAAGAGTTAGAACTCCCACCCAGCGCTTAGCAGCTGTGTGCTTCTGTGCACATTATTTCCTTCTCCAAGCCTCATTATCTTCATTTGTAAACTGGGGATAGTTGTAGTACTGTTGACCCTTGAACACCATGGTGGGGGTTCAGAGGACCACCACCCTCCACAGAGTCAACCCTCCATATCCAACATTCGGAATCCGTGGATTCAACCAACCCCAGGTAGGGTAGTAACTGTGCGTATTTGCTGAAAAAAACCCTCATATGCTTCCCTAGTGCTTCAGTTGGTAAAGAATCCACCTGCAGTACAGGAGACCCCGGTTTGATTCCAGGGTCGGGAAGATCCCCTGGAGAAGGGAGAGGCTACCCACTCCAGTAATCTGGCCTGGAGAATCCCATGGACTACAGTCCATGGAGTTGCAAAGAGTCAGACACGATTGCGCGACTTTCAGTTTCTTATAGGGACTCACGCAGCTCAAACCTGTGTTGCTTAAGGATCAGCTGTACTCCCCTGGTAGGGAGATGTAGGGATTAAACATGAGACGCTGTGTATGAAGCACTTAGCACAAAGCAAGACTCGCAGTAAGTGCTCAATAGATGGCAGTCCCCCAGTTTATTTCCTGCCTACTTTAATTCCAGTAAGGGTAGGCAAACGGGTGCATGCTACTCTCAAAACCATTGCAAACTTAGTCTAGACTTAGGCGGCGCTCACAGATTTGTCCTCTGAGAAAGCCACAAAATTCTTTTGTAAGTCATGATCCCTTCCTGGGTTTGTTTTTTTTTCTTTTATCAGCTATATTTAGCTCTTAAATTTTATATCTCAGCTTGAAATCTTAAAGTCATCCTTCCAAAAGTACAAGTGGTTCAGCCAATGGCATTTACAAGCAAGTTGTTTTTTTGGTTCTTTTTTTTTTTTTCCCCAGAAATAACAATAGGTCAGAGGTGAGACTGATTTCCATAACTCCAAAGATAAATAAAGTAAACTTCATTTAATCAAAGAATCCAATCTGGCAAGTCCAATTCTGAAGACAAGTTATTCCAGTTTTATTAAACTTCCAAGAGAACATTTAAGCTTTTTCTCAAAGGTTGTAAGCTGTCTCTCAGGGACCCTGGGTCTGGGTAAATACCCCATCCCCACCCCCAGCTCACAGTTGAAATTATTGGTGTTTTTTCAATCTCAAATACTAGCTACTTCTTATTTCCAGCCTGCCACCCAACCACCTAAGCTTAATCCAAACTTTCCTACACATAATAACATATTTTTTTTAAAGATTTTCTTGATGTGGACAATTTTTAATGTCTTTATCGAATCTGTTACAATATTGCTTCCGTTCATGTTTTGGTTTTTTGGCCATGAGGCATGAGGGGGTCTTAGCTGCCTGACCAGGGATCAAACCCACATTGGAAGGCGAAGTCTTAACCACTGATCCACCAGGGAAGTCTCCATAGTAACATATTTATTGAGTCCTTACTATGTGCCAGACACAATTTTAAATGCTTTATGTGGACTAAGTCATTCTCTTATAACATTGCTATAAGTACTATTATTATCATCTCTCTACACAAAATATTATTTTGGAAATTTGCGCAAGAGGATCTAGCTGATATGGGGCAGAGCAGGGATTTGAGGCCATCGAGTCTGGCTACAGAGCTGGCTCTTGCCCACTGAACCGTATCTCCTAAGAGAGGTGACGTTTCCCAGGGACACAGTTTGCACAAGAATCCCAACTCTCCGTGTTCACAACAGCACCTTTCCTCCGTAGAATGTTCTGTCCTAGCCCCGTTTCTCCCAGCCTATTCTCAGGGGGCATCCCTTACCAGAAACACGAAAGAAACACCCAACTAACAACAATGTCCTTCTTACGTCTGTCAAAGGGGGCTGCAAAAATATTCAAGGCAGGGTGGCTCAGACTTGGGGGAGGGGCTCCAAGTCCAACCTCAGCATTAACTGGCTGGGCGCCCTTAGTCAAGTCATACCACAACCTCACCCTTACGTGCTCACCAGCAGAGCAGGGGACCAGGCAGAAACCACCTTCCAGGGCTTCTGTGGGGACTGCGTGAGCATATCTGCGCTCAGCACAGCGCCGGGTTCAATAAGGAAGCTGTCCATCATTAAGGGAGATCAATAGCAGCTATTATGAGTATTGATCGTACAGTCCATCACTGAGTAGAACTGAGAAGGGCACATCCCGAGAAGACTCAGAGAGAGCCCAGGTTGTCATAGACGCTCTTTGGGGCCCTGTCCATTATCCATCCCTGAACCTGAGGACCAGCTGCCTGAGACGGAAGGGTCACCCCTGAGCCTACCTGGCACATGACACCTGTGGGTTCCCCAGGGTGGGAGATGGTCGTTAAATAGAAGGTGATGCAGAGAAGCAAGTGAGAACCCAGACAGGACCAAGCTGGAAACCCCTCTGTAAATCAACCCCGTCCTGTAAGCAGTCATTTTCCCCTTAGACATGACATTACCTGTCCCAGGTTAGCAGTTCTGAATATTGATTTCAAAACTTGCTTTCCACTTGGCCCCTTAACACACAGTCAGGTGAAGACAGAGCTGCTTTGTCGTGAGAGGGAAGAGGAGGCTCCTGGAGCATCCACTTGTTGAACTCCTCCCCAAAGGGACCCCGTGTCCCTTCGAAAGGCCACCGAAAGTCTTTAGACCACAGCTTGAGAAACATATTCCAAGAGAAACAAATGCATAGTCATCCCTTGGCTCCCCCCGCCCCCCACCCCCAGGACTGGTTCCAAGATACTTGAAGGTACTAAAATCCACCCATGCTCAAGTCCTTTTCATAAAAGGGCATGCGTGCTCAGTCGCTTCAGTTGTGTCTGACTCTTTGCAACCCTATAGATTGTAGCCTACCAGGCTCTTCTGTCCATGGGATTCCCCAGACAAGAATACTGGAGTGGGTTGCCATGCTCTCCCCCAGGGGATCTTCCCTACCCAGGGATCGAACCCTTGTCTTTTATATCTCTAGCACTGGCAGGGAGGTTCTTTACCACTAGTGTCACCTAGGAAGCCCATAAAATGGAACAGTACTTGCATATAACCTACATACATCCTCCCTTATACTTTAATTCATCTCTAAAACCTAATACAAGAATGCAAATACAATCTAAATGTAAATACAATCTCAATGCAAATATGATCTAAATGCTACGCAAATAATCACCTGAAAATTCAAGTTTTACTTTGGGGAACTTTCTGGAATTTTTTTGGAGATGGCTTTCCGAGGTTGGTTGAACGCAGAACCTGTATACGATATGAACTTTGCTCTTAGTGAACTTAGAGTCTAGTGAGCTGGTGGCTACAGGTTTGCACTGGCTGGTAAGTGAACTCCAGGGTTCCTTGTTTAAAGTTCAAGTCCTAACAAGGCACTGTTGCTACCTTCTACAGAACCCTGAGGCTTTTCATTTGCAAAAGTTTCCTTCATGTTTATACTGCACATGGTAGATAGGGGCTGGGTGGAGCATGCCTGCATCGTTCACCTGCTTCAGTAAAATAATTTCTAAAATTAACTTAACTCTCACAACACTTCTGTCAGGTGGGGTTATTACTGACTCATTTTGCAGATGAGGAAACTGAGGCTGAAGACATTTGACGTGTCTGAAGTCACCCAGCTAGACAATACAGGAACCCAGAATCAAATCCCATCTTGGTTTCAGAGGATGGCGGCCTGGACTCAGTATAGATTCCCTCTCTGCACTTACTAGTTGTTATCTCCAGCCTCAGTTTCCTCATCTGTAAAATGGGGATGATAATGATAACTGCCACCTTCAGAATGGTGCCTGGCACATAGCCAGTGCTCAACAAGTGTTAGTACCTGTCTGGGGATCACCAAATAATAGGTTATGACTCATTTGTCCAATTCACTCTCTCATTTATTTGGTTGGTTAGAATACTGGAGTGGGTAGCCTATCCCTTCCCCAGCAGATCTTCCTGACCCAGGGTTTCCTGCATTGCAGGCAGAGTCTTTACCAACTGAGCTATCAAGGAAGCCCAGAAAACAGTGCAAGGCAGTGCGTCGATAAGGAACCAAATGTGTCCTGCAGAGAAGTAAAGGCTATAGGAGTTCAGAGAAAGGACATTTGAAATGCTCCACTTATTATTGCTTCATAAAATTCTGAGCATTCCTTGTGCAGAAGCCCTGCTGAGCTCACTGTGTCAGTCCAATGTCAGCATGTGCTGCCAGGGCCAGCCTCTCGGCCACCAGCTGGGGCATGTCCTTAACAAGCCACATGCTGCCTTCCCAGTAGACCAGTTAGCTCTACCACAGACAGACATCTAAGTCTCCAGGGACAACTGGGTTCTGTCCATTAACACATGGCACTGGGGCTGTGTGCCATACCCCCATGCTGAGAAACAGCTCAAGGTGTGTGTCCTCAAGACATCAGGTGGGTGGGGGGATGGAGTGGGTGCGAGGGGGGCATCAGGGGCCGGGAGGACACACGACCCAGGTCCTGGGAAACAGCCGGACCCCAGTTCATCAAGTAAAAAAATGCCTTTTCCTTGTGCATCCACGCGGTCCTTTCTCTCTGAATCTATTCAGAGGCGAAGGTCTTTATGAACCTTCCCTGATATTCCAGGACTCCCCTCCCTATGCTCCCTCTCTCCAAGAAAAGAAAGCAAAAGAGAATAGAAATCAGGGAATCCCCAGAATTCTGCTCTAGCATTTGCCACACCAGGCAAACAACGGCGTGCTTCCAGAGACCCCAGAATTAAAGTTACATTTGGAAAGAAAGAGGGAAAAGAAAGGCTGACCTCCCCCGGAGTCCACTCACCCACCGCATACCCCCATCAACCAGAAAACGCCCCCAGCCCGAGGCTTAAAGGTCAAGCCCTCGCTTTGCTCAGTAAATGCCAAGTGAGCTCAGGACGCTCAGCCCCCGGTTCCTACCTCGTGGGCAGTGGTCCCCGGTCGCCTCGCTCCCGCAGGCATCACCTGCTACGCCGGATCCAGCATCTCTGCTCGGGAAGCCGAGCGCCTCTCATGTGGGAGAGGTTCCGCGGAAGGAAGGGGAGGGCAGGCTGAGATCACCGACGTGGGGAGGGGTGGGTCTCCCGAAGCAAGCACTTGGTTCCAGGGGAAAGGATGTTTTGTAAGTTTTGGCTTGAAAGTCCAGGGGCAGGACAGGAAGTGTGCACTAGGGCTGGGAGCCCAGGGTGCATCTCCGCAGCCTCCCTTTAGAGGGAGCTTCCTGGGGTCGCTCAATTGCGGCCCTGTCTGGAATGCAAAGCCCCGTCTGAATCCTGGAGCTTTCCCCACCTTACGCTTTCCTCCAGCGCTTTTTTTTTCTCCTTAATGGACCGTCAGCTTCGTTCCTGACATGCTGGAAAAATTTCCCTCGGCTTAAACTTGGCTCAAGAACACTCTCCCCTTGTGAAAGAACTTCTCCTGTTACACAGTTCAGATTGAAAAAAAAGAGAGAGCTATTTGTTTTGCCAACTTTTGTACTGGGGACATTTTTGATGAATTTCCTCCCCACTCTGAACCTCTGGATTCCAAGAAATATACACACCCACATCCCTCCTGACTTGTTTTTCCCCTACCCCTCTAATGGGAAAATAACAAAAATAATAATTGGTGAAAGATGGCAGAGAAAATGTCCTTAGTTTGTGGTCTCCTGCGGTCCTTCCTGGGTCAGCCTCCTCCCACACCAAACACACCTTTGCCCAAGGTTTGCTTGGCTTCCAAGCCCTCTCCTAGTTCTAGGTCTTTCTATGATGGAAGCCCAGGAATTGGCTATCTTTCCTAAATGGAGTCCAGTTCCAATTACAAGCTCTACCTCTCCAGCACAACCCACCCCCCCTCCCCCAGATTGGAATACTTCCTGCCAGCACTGGAGATGGAAGAGACCTGGGTTTGATCCCTGGGTGGGAAAGATCCCCTGGAGGAGGGGACGGCAACCCACTCCAGTATTCTTGCCTGGAGAATCCCCATGGGCAGAGGAGCCTAGTGGGCTACAGTTCATGGGGTTGCAAAGAGTCAGACACGACTGGAGTGACTTAGCACGCACACATGCACAAACCTTTATGTGCAACGTGGATGAACCTTGAATACATCATGCTAAAGTGAAAGAAGACAAATACAAAAGACAACATGCTTTATGATTCCATTTATCCTGCAAGGTCAAGAATGGGCAAATCCCTAGAGACAGGAAGTAGGTTAATGGTTGCCAAGGACTGGGGTGGTGATGAAACTGGGAGCTGGGGGGAGATAACAGGGTACAGAAGCACAGGGTTTTGGGGGGGATGATGAAAATGTTCTCAAGCTGATAGTGGCAATTAGCCCACAACTGTGTAAATATACTAAAAATCACTGAATTGTACACTCTAAATAGGTGACTTCGTGGCATGTAAATTATATCTAAATAAAGCTATTGCAAAAATAATACACATACCTGAAAAGATAACTATTTCTGTTTATTTTGTAACCTAACCCCAACTTCTTAAGTGCCATAGTTTGTGTATAGTTTCTTGTTTCCTTGACTAAATCATCTGAAGGTTTATCTTGAGAAATTCAAGACACTGTCCACTGTCTGAGAAAAGAAAAGAGGATGTGGGAAACTCAAGAAAAGAGTCATTCCTTTTATTATTATTATTATTATTATTATTTATTTTTGGCCGCATCAGGCCTTAGTTGTGGCACACAGGATCTTCACTGCAGTGCGGGGGGTGTCTCTCTGGTTGTGTTGTGCATGCGCTCAGTAGCCCACGCATGTTGGATCTTAGTTCCCCGACCTGGGATTGAACTGTGTCCTCTGCATCGGAAGACAGATTCTTAACCACTGGACCACCATGGAGGTCCCAAGAATCATTTTCTTAGAGGAACACATTATTCTGCGTATTGCGATTCTTTAATAATCTTCCTTCTTTGGGGACACAAATATCCCCAAACTCTCTCTATCCTGCCCTCTACCAAACTGCATGTTAAGAAGGACTTTGAATGTAAAACTCCCTGAGATTTAGGAGCCTGACATCTCTGACTGTACGTGCATGTAGTTAATGAAAAAAAAATGTTGGGTGTTTTAAGCTAATGAAATACACTCATTCTAATTTTTCATCTCTCAAAAGTGATCAAACTCCTACTACATTTCAGGTAGCCTGAAATGTACAGGAGTCACGAGGAAAAAAGCAAGCAAAGCAGTGTCGCGGGCAGTTCCGGGTGCCCTAATAAAAGATACAGGTAAGATAAGGGCCCGGCGAAAGCAGAGAGTGTATGTCGTGAGGAATGGCTGCAGCAGCAAGTGTGGTTTTAACCATGCCTATGGAGTTGCTTCTGTAATGGATGGAAAGTCTGAAGCATGGGAGAGTCATGCTTTAGAAGAGATGCTCTGAGAGGTGCTGAGAGAATGGTAAAAGTGGTCCAGAATTTCTGGCAGTTGGGAAAAAGAAGTTTCATTCTTATTATCGTTCTTTTGTTTTGAAGGACGGACTACATAGAGGTAATTTATTAGCAGCTTCCTGGTCCATGAAAGGGCTTGCAAGGTTACGGGAGGGGAAGAGGATTCGGCTGCCCTTTACAGAGGTCACCACCACGCCAATCAACCTCGCTCTCTGTGTCCATCGGGGGCCATTCTCAGGTTTGTCCACTAGATGACGGCATTGTTATTCCGGAAAGAAAACTCTGCAAACTTGGTCTCGGTATTGCTGGGGCAATCCTAAAGGAAATCAGTCCTGAATATTCAGTGGAAGGATTGATGCTGAAGCTGAAGCTCCAGTACTTTGGCCACCACCTGATGCAAAGAGCTGACTCATTGGGAAAGACTCTGATGCTGGGAAAGATTGAAGGTGGGAGAAGGGGATGACGAGGATGAGATAGATGTTTGAATGGCATCACCGACTCGATGGACATGAGTTTGAGTAAGCTCCGGGAGTTGATGATGGACAGGGAAGCCTGGCGTGCTAGAGTCCATGGGGTCGCAAAGAGTCAGACACGAATGAGCGACTGAACTGACTGATTGCTGGGGCAGCTGAGGATCAGCAATGACTGCCCTTTATCCCTTTTTGTATCAGGCAGAGGAATCCAGAATGTGCCGTGGAAAGAGCATGGGCTTTGGAGCTGGGCGAAGTCGTGTCTTCACCCATATCCCGCCTCTCTAGGTAGAGTTTGACTCTGGGAACCTTAGTTGCCTCATCTAAAATGCAAGGATTTCAGAGATCCACACTCCCTTATCCACATTCCAGACTCCACACTTGGCAAACCAGAAGCGTTTCGTAACTCACTTGGCAGCAAGACCTGACCTAAAGTGACCTGAGGTTACGTGTTTTCCTACATAGTGTGAATATTCTCACACTTTCTGGCAGAAAGGGTGTATGTTGTTTGATGGCAAGGTGCTCCCCGGGTCCACCGGGGGCTTGCTATCATAAAACGTATATTGTGCAGCGCAACCTTTCCATAATCTGAAATGAATCAGAATTCTGAAGCACAGCTGGCTTTGGGTAAGAGATTGTGGACTTGCAGCATCGACCGCAAGGGTGTCGTGAGGCTAACAGTTGACGGCTTGTCTGAAGCATCTAACACACAAAACCCATGGGGCCCCTCTCTCTCCAACCCCAGCTAATCAGATCTGGGGTCTGGCACACGAGAGAAAGGGGCGGTGGGGGAACAAAGCAAGGAATCTCTACGGATGCTTTCACACCGTTCCTTCATATGATGAAGATACAGTAGCGTACTGACATGCTAGGTACCTTGCGGTGAATTGGCTCCTGGTCTTCTGCTGAGCCTGTGCTTATCCTTGATATTCGCTCCGAAGATATCCACTGGTTGAGCGTTCCCGCCTCCCCCCGCCCCCGCCCCGGAGGAGGCATTTCTTGACCCTGGAGCGAATAGCCTGAAGGCCTGGGAATCTCACCTACTTCGGATCCACGCACCAGCAGCTTGGAGTGACAGTCCCCGGCCCCGCCCACTCTTCCATCCCGTTCCCCGTGCCCCCGCCCCGCCTCCCGGCTCTGCCCCCGGTGCTCCGTTGGTATTAAGTACAGGCAATTTTTCTCATGTGCAGGCTCTCCCTTCTTTCTTTGCCTTTGCGCTGTCTCTGTTCCCTTTTTCCTAAAACCGCCTTCAACACTTTTCCCTTCTCTCTTCGGAGAAGGAAATGGCAACCCACTCCAGTATTCTTGCCTGGAGAATTCCATGGACAGAGGAACCTGATGAGCTACAGTCCATGGGGTTGCAAATAGTTGGACACGACTGAGCAACTGATCACGTGTTTAACCCCCAGTAGCCCCTGACTGCAGCCCAGGGCTCAGTGGCTGCAGGTGCCGTGCCTACCCTTCTCTGCTGCCAGTCTGGGGCCATCCCCGGGCACCCTGGGCACGCTGCCACCACGGTTCCCAACCGAACGCACTGCACTGGAATCTTCGATGTCGGTGTGTCCCCCGCCCCCACCCTCCCCATCACACACAGACGCGGGCAGCGCCTTGAGGACACGCTGTGTTCTGTTTTGTGTCCTTAGTACCGCTGAGCTTGCCACTCACAGAAATGTTCGATTGAATGGTCGATTGAATGAATGGCAGTGGGGATGATGCTGCTATATTTATGAAAGAAATCTGAGCTCTTGGGATTTATGATAAGGTTTTACAAAACTGAAAATGGCCTGAATGTGCTGTCACTGCAAGAAATCTGAGACCTATTTTCAAGTCAGGTCCTGGCCCTGCGCAGTCCCTTGCTTTACCCCAGGAAGAGAGACTCTACTTATGGGAAGCAAGCTGGGCTGGAAGTCCTGGTTTCTGGGCTCAGGGCTTACGTCCACCACCAGCCGGCTGTGTGATCTTATTGAAACACAGCAGTACCCTATGGTCCTTGCCTCCCATGTCTTCTGCCTGCTTTTTGTCTATGGAAAAACTTTAGCTGAAGAATAAGTTTAATCAAAAGGCTTACATACACCAAACAAAAGAAAGTCAAAGGAGACCAAATAATGATAATACAGTCATTAGGCATAGTCAAGGACCTTTAGTTCCTTCCCAAGGGATATAGATCTTATTCTGAACCATATCCTGTGAGCTGTCTCATAGATACTGAAACCCCACCAGGTAGAAAAGTTAGCTACGTGATGACCAGACTATAGGCATGACATAAGCTGCTCCGCCTTGCACAATTCCAAGAACTGGCCTCAAAGAAAGGGAAACAAACCAACCCTGGAACTGAAGATTAACTGTACTTAAAACAATCAAAAGATGATGCTGGTCAGACCACCGATGACCAGTTTCAAGAAGACCGTCAGAGCTGACTGCTGTTGCTGCATGGAGCCCCCTCCCTCTGTCTATAAAACCTCTTGCCCCACCCGATTGTCAGGGGATGGAGTCAGCCTTTGGACAGGTATCTGCCCTCCCCTTGCCCCCACTTCAGTTGCTGGCATCGAAAATAAAGCCAACTGTCCACCAACGTGGCCCCTTTATTGGCTTTTGAGCCAGACCTCACTTTCACTAACAGTACCATCCACCATCAAGTGGCAGCTTAGCCCCACTTTCTTGATCAGGGCAACTAATAGAGCAGCCCTAACATTCCTCCTCATCCTCATGTTCTGTGGCTTTGTTTTGAGTGCACAGCATGTGGGCTCACAGAACACATGGTGACATCTAATCTAGTCTTCTAGTTCTAACTATAGTACGTCTGCATGAGTGTGCACCCCCTTCGGTGTAAAGTCTGCCACACACACATCTCCACGTTTACAGACTGACTCCTCTTCTGTCTTCAAAAAGTCTCCTCTTCAAATTTAAATACTTTGAGGTCCTACCTTGTCACCTTAAAATCATAGAATTTCAAAGTCGGGAAGGAGTTTAGTGGCTAATAGTTCAAATGTGCTGTGCTTAGCCACTCAGTCATGTCTGACTCTGCGACCCCATGGACTGTAGCCCACCAGGCTCCTCTGTTCATGGGGATTTTCCAGGCAAGAATACTGGAGTGGGTTGCCATGCCCTCCTCCAGGGGATCTTCCCAACCCAGGGATCAAACCCAAGTCTCCCACATTGCAGGTGAATTCTTTACTGTCTGAGTCACAGGGAAGCCCATGAATACTGGAGTGGATAGCCTATCCCTTCTCCAGGGAATCTTCCCAACCCAGGAATCAAACTGGGGTCTCCTGCATTACAGGCGGATTCTTTACCAGCTGAGCTATCAGGGAAGCCCAATTGTTCAGTTATCCTGTCAAAATCTGGCAGGGATGGTCAGGCTCCAACTGGCACCTGGGTCACAAACCCCAGTGAGACCTGCAAGGCTGTTGATAGGAAGAGAACTTAAACACTAAAATTGCCTCTAGCTTCTTGACTTCTCCTGTAGCATAAGCACTTCTACCTAAGCAAGACTTCTCTTCCAAACACAGTAAGTCTTCTACATGTGAACCAGTTCCATTCCATGAGTATATTGGTAAGTGAAATTTGTTCATAAGTTCAATGAAGTTAGCCTAGGCACCCAACTAACACAACTGGCTTTATAGCACTATTTTACAATATAATATAAATATTTACATTATAATATAATATAATATAATATAAATGTAATACTCTTAGCACAAATAATATATAAAGACAAACACAAAAAAATAAACATTTTAAATCTAACATCACAGTACCTTAAAAAGTACAGCATAATTTTAAAAGTTAGTACAATATAGCAAAAAAGGTTAATAAAAGTACAATAGCGGGCACCCAGAGGCTGGCACTGCGTGAGCCAGCGAGAAGGGTTACTGACTGCCTGGAGAAGGGAGGGGAGGCGGGAGATGGTGGAGGTGAAGGACCGTCAGCAATAGGAGTCAAAGGACAAGCTGCAGTGTCACTCATGCCTGACATCGATGGGACACACATTCAGACCTTTGAAAGCTCGAAACTTGAAGGTCTGTATGTAGGGGACTCACTGTACAAGATCTTCTCCACGTTCTCATTCTGCTTTCTACGTTCCCTCCACTATATATCAGTTGCTCAAACCAAAGCCCTAGAAATCATTCCCTCTTTCCCTACCCCAACATTCAATCCATCAGTAATTCTGTATTTGAATTCCTTCAAACGACCAGCTCATCACCTCCACTCCTGACACCCAAGTCAAAGGCACTTTGATTTGCTAGGACTAATGCAGCAGCTTTACAGTCAGGTCTCTGCCTCTCATCCGGTTTCCCAGATGTCACTCTCTGCACGGCAGCCAGAACCATCTCCTCCAGCCTAACACCCTCCCCTGGTTTCTCAGGATAGGGAGATCTAAACCTTCACCATGTCACAAGGCCTGGCCCACCCTTCCAACCTCAACTACCGAGGCTGGGCCGCACCAATACACCAAACGCTTTGCTGTTTCAGGACCTTTGACTGTGTTACTGCCTCCTTCCCCACAGGCTCACCTCTAACATCCAAGGGGCTCAGGAAAAGACAACAAATGGAGACCCACACACCACTAAAACTCCAACAGAAGGTATGCTCTGTCCTCTTACCGTGACGAATGCCTTTCTAATGGCAAAATGGAAAAATATGCCTAAACTTATGGTTTTTACGACTGTATGTTAGTAAAATACAAAACAAAATTGAATCTAATTAATATTGTGCATATTTGAGGGTTCTGTGGGTTGCCAGGTGGCATTAGAATGAGCGACAGAGACATATATTATTCATATCTTATATGTTTATGTCACAAAAATTCATTTCTTTTGCTCTTAAGTGAAATCACTAATAAAATCATCTTCGAATAATTTGTATCCTATTGAGATGAATGATATAAAAGACTTTAAATGTTATTGTCCTCAGAGGTACAAAATCTGAATATATTGTCATTAAAAATGTAACTGAAAGTTAAGTGTGCACAGTGAAAAGTTGAAATGGTCTCACATATGCTCTCAAGAAGTTATTTTCCTCAAACATTCAAAATTATTTAAGATGACATAAGTACATATTATAGTTGGCAGGTATGATCATTTTAACTTAGAATTATTTAAATAAAGCTGAAGAACTTTGGAGAAACTGTTACCAAAGTTGTATTAATTTTAAAAAACTGTTTGTTCATTTATTTTGGGGCTGTGCTGGGTCTTTTGCGGCGAGGACTTTTTGCCGGTTGCGGTGAGTCGGAGCCAGTCTTTAAGGTGCACACGCTTCTCTTGCTGCAGAACACGGGCTCTAGGGCACAGGCTCAGGAACAGTGGTGCTTGGGCTTAGTAGCTCTGAATTATATAGGATCTTCCTGGACCAGCGATTGAAATCATGTCTCCTGCATTGGCTGGTGGATTCTTTACCACTGAGCCCCCAAGGAAGCCTTAAATATTCCTATTTTTAAAAATTCTTCTTTGATGAGTTTTGCATGTCCATGTTGTTGTCAAGGAAGATAATTGGTAGGCATCAGGCATCTAACCTTTAGACCAACCTACATACAACTTAAAGAGATATATGAATTATTAACATTGCACCGTGGGCCTCTCTGGAACACACAGAAAAATTTTTTTAAAAAGTATGTTAGGAATTCTGGGAAGCAATTCTTTAGGCAGTATTTGTACTGATGCCATCTGAGAAGAGTTTAACCAATTGACTCATTAGTTCATTGTCCTTTCCCTCTCCTAAGTGGTCCCCACCATGCTAATCCTCTCCGTGTTACTTTGCCTCATGACAGCAGAGTGGAAAAGCATTTCCCTGGCATCCACAGTGAAGTAGTGAGGATGCTCAGAGTCCTCTTCACGCAGGGCCCAGAGGCTGCCACGTGCCTTGGTCCAAGGGTAGCTCTGTTCATAAGGTCACTTTCTTCTCTGTCCCTTTCTTAAGCACCTGGATTAACTGAAGCAGTGCCCACCTCCCAACCTCAGTCTTACTCTATTTAGTCGTCCTAAATGCATTTCCTCACAGCCATGCACACCAGCTGGTAGAACAGTTTTACCTTATTTGTTGATAGTTTATCATCCATCTCCCCCAACCGTGGACTTGGTCATGTCTACTTTACATTCTCAGCTTT